TTTGGGCCCAGATTAAAATCGAAAAAAAATTATTTTTGATTATGCTAATGTTATTTCTACCTGTTTTTTAAGCTACTGCTCCAGGACAAAAGAATTCATAACTTACTTTCTCCCAGTTTCTGAGGCTCAGAGTATTTATACAAATCTGCAGAAATGAAAGTGCACAAAGAAATCTCTCTAATATTTGAAATACCTGGTTAGAAGGTACAATGGAGAGGCAAATAGGAATGTATCTCTCAGGGCAACAATATTTTAAGTCCGTCTACAGTTTGTGGAAGAGAGGACAAGGAAAATGAGAAGTATGGAAACTGATTTATGAAGAACAATTAGAGAAGCTATATAAAGATTAGCATGGAAAACAGAAGTTTAGACAGACAAAATAGTTTCAACAAATATTTACAGCACTAATAATAAGTAAAAGGAAAAATTTTCTCATATTGTTGCAGATGGAAAAGAAACCCCAAAACCCTAAAGGTTAGCATGGGAAAGAGAAGTCTGGAGATACAATAATTTCTACAAATATTTACAGTACTATTGAGTAAAATAATTACTGCAGATGGAAGAAATATAAAATGAAGGGTGGATGTTTCAGAGATAGGAGCTTAATTGTCAGAGCTGTCAAACAACGATTTTTTGCATGTACTTATTGTCAATCAGAGGTTGAATTACCATCTTTTATATGACAAAATAAAAGAACCCTATATTGGGATGAAAGCTGAGCAGGATATTCTTTTGAGCATCTTTTACTTTGCTTATTTGGTTATTCTGTAATCTTCTGATAACTGTTTTTGCCTATTTTTCTAAGGTGTCATGTTTTCCTCATTGGCTGTAGTTCTGTTTGATTAGCTAAATGGTTGTTAGTTACATCAGTTGTAAATACTGTCTCCAAATTTGAGGCTTGAATTTTCACTCTCTTCACAGTGACATTTATAACACTTAAGTTTTACATTTTAGTACAAATTTACACAATTATTGCATGGATTGTTATTTCTGCATCTTAAGAAATTCTTCCTTATTTTAAATTCATTTAGATATAATCCTTTATCTTTTCTAACTTTTAGTTTTGCTTTTAACATTTAGCCCTTTAACCCAACTAAAATTACTTTTGTGAGCGGTGTATGGTAGGGATCCATTTTTTTTCCCCCTCCAAGTGGGTAAGCAATTGGCCTGGAACTATTTACTGAACAGGCCATCATCCTGGTGATTTATAATGACATCTCTTCTGGGCTTGCTAATCTGTCCTAGTGATTTGTATATGGCCCATAGCACCCTGTTTGAATTATTATACAAAGTCTTGATATGTTTTAGAGAAGTCCCTCACCACATTGACTTGGTAATTCTTGGCTCTTTTAAGTTTTACTCATAAATTCTATGATTGGCAAGTCATTTTTCACAATAAACCCTATCAGAATTTTGACTAGAATGACATTGAATTATTAAGTACATTAAAGATGAACTGCTATCTTCTAGAGTCTTCCCATTCATTTAAAATATAATCACTCATTTTGGGAGTCTTCTTTTATAACCTTCAATAAAGTTTTATAATGTTCTCCATAAGGTCTTAGTTTATTAGCTTCATTCTTAGGTGTTTTAATGTTTTTCCTGCTTTTGTTGCTGTTGTAGAAGATTTTTTAAAAACTGGATTTTCTAATTGGATGTTATCATACTAATCTTGTGAGTAGTACCTTTTCTGAACTCTTTCATCAGTTCTAAAACTTTACATAGATATTCTTTCATATTTTCTATATACACAATCGTACTGTTTGTAAGTAACCACAATTTTGTTCATTCTTTCCTTATAACTATTACTTATTATTGCTTACTTTCATATTTCTTTTTTTCTCATCACATTACATGAGTCAAGACGTCTCATAAAATGCTGAAAATTTTTATCATGTCCGTTACTTTAAATCATTTGGTTATGATGTCCCTCATAGCAGAAGTACTCATCTATTCTTGGGGTGATAAGCATTTTTTATAATAAATGTGTCAGCTTTGGTAAATTTTTTCTGTATCTATTAGGATGATATTGGCTGATTTTTTTTGTAATGTGTAAAATCATAAAGGTGTCTCAAATGCAGAATCATCTGTGCTTCCCCACAGATGATTTATAATATTTGTATGATTTATAATTTATATAAACATTTATAATGTTTATAAACATTTATAAAAACATTTATAATGTTTTTATAATTCACTATATTCAATTTGCCAACATTTTGTTTAGAATTTTTGTACCTAGGTTTGTAAACAAGACTAGCTTGCAAATTTTCTTTCTTTTGCTATCTGTGCCTTGTTTTGATAAAGATTATATCACTATTTCTCTCTTTTCTATTCTTTAAAATTGTAAAAGATAAGAATTATCTACTGCCTTAAGGTTATATAAAGTTACCTGTAAAACCATTTGGGATTAATAATTCTATAGATTTATGGGTCAGACAATCCATAAATTATCTACATTATTTATGGCTAGATTATCTACTGGATTTACAGATTACAGCATCTAATCTGAATAAAATAAATCACAAAATGAACAAATGACTTAAACGAGTATTGTTGCAAAATTACAGTGAGAATAATGTGAAAAAAGCACTAGCAAATAATAGACAAACAAAGGCAGAACTAATCCTGCTACTACTAGTATGAGCATTTTATTAATTATACTATAAGGTATGAACAGTGAAGTCAGTCCAAAAGTTTTTTTAGTTCTTAAGAAACCATTTGAAATAAGGATTTATACCTTGTATTATTACTAATGAAACGCTCCAAAGTCTACATTGTGTAATAAGATACTGGGGGTGAAGTCACCACGATTAGCAAGACATTTAAAAATTGTTTACAACATCTTTATTTCAACCTTAAAAATTTTAATTTGTGGAAATATTAGTACATATAAGGTACTGGTGTGTATAGATACACACATACATGTGCTACATTAAAAAAAATTTGGTATGCAAGTAGACAAAGTTAGAGCTTACCAATCTATACCACGGCAGAATAGTTTTATAAAAGAAAATCTGATTTGTTACTCTCTGCTTAAAGAAACCTAGCAGCTTTCTAGGGCCCTAAGAAAAGTCAAAATCCTTAATATTTCCTACATGGCTTTCTCACAATCTTACCCCTACCTATTTCTTTAGCCTCACCTATTACCATTCTCTCCCTTGCTTTATACACTACAAGCCACACTAAACTAAATGACTTTTCAGCCTCAGAATGTTAACATATATATTTGTGCACTTTGCCTAGAACATCAAAATAATTTAAATAAGTAACTACATTACTTATTTTCTATATATACTTGGGTCTGCCTTATTACTTAAATTCATAGAATCACAGAATGTAAGGACTGGAAATTTACTTTTAAAATGTCATCTATTCCAACCACTCATCTGATGCTTTTGAATGCCTCTAATGATAAGGCAACCAGGGAATCTTTTCCCCTTTAAAAAAAAATGTCTGATCTTTAGAAATATTCTTTCTTATATGGACCTGAAATCTGTTTCCACCTAACTTCTAGGTAGCGATCCTAATTCTACTCATTGGGCCATTCAGAGAAAGTTCAGTCCTACTTTAGTGGAAGAGCCATACAAATATTTACAGATAACTACCATGTTACTTCCAAGCCTTCTCTTCTGTGGTGGTAGGGAACAGGAGGTAGAGAGTAGGGAGAGACTAATGTCTGAGTATCTTTTATGAGTTGGTTACTTTATATTTAACTTTCATATTGCTCCAGTGAGTTTGTTATTATTATTGCCAAGTAACAAATGAGGAAATTAAAGCTCTGATAGGTAAAGTTAACTATTCATGTAACTTAAGTAGCAGAGCTGGGATTTCAACCACAAGTCTGTCACAGATACCAAAGCCTATGTTTTAGCCTCTTTAGAACACTGAACTGCCTCCCGCAAAGGAGAAGAGATATAAGAGGGTATGAAACATGGAAAAGCAAGACAAACAAAAATTCTAAAAATCCCATGCTTTCTAACTTCCAAAATTCAATGTATTGATATATTTTTGTCCTTAAGACTTACATCAAAATCATCTTCAACATTTCTTTCTCTGTCTTATAACCTACCTAATTATTATCTCAAATTTCTCAGATCTTACTACATAAATGAACTCAAACAACCTACAACTAGGGAAGCAAAAAGAGAAAAGTATTTCCATATTTCAGCCTCTCTCAATTTTAATGTCTTACACAGTGAAAAGATTATCTTCTTTAAACACTGACTAGTGTACTCTTCTTTACAGTCTCCAACACCACATTGCCTTCTGCAATCAAACTTAATGCTGACATTTTTTCTGGCTTTGAGGCCCGACAACACTATCCTTAACTTGTATTAACAAAAGCTACTTGTTCTCTCTTCTCCAGGCAAACACTTGTTTGGCATCCTCCACAAGCACTTTAAGGTCTTCCTTCTTTTCCTCTGAGAATCACAACTCTTCCCTCAATTAACAATTAGATAAGACCAATACCGCCTCATCATTCATGCTTCTTATGAAAAATGTATCTCCATATTGTTAATTATATTTATCCCATGCATTAACTTTTCTCTTTCCCTAGTTACATCATAAACAATTGAATACAAGTCATCTATTTCTTTTTATCTTTCACCTAAGTGCAAAAAACTGAACAGCAAGTGCTTAATGTTCTCAGCTGTACATTACAAAAATACATTTTTATCATATATATCTTTTTATTTGTACACTTTCCTTTTAGGTTGCTTGCTAGAATTCTCTCACCATACACTTTACTGTGAAAAAACATTGAGAGAAACTCTCACTTCCAGTTTTATAAACAAAGTCAAATGTAATACAAAAGCTCTAATTCAGCACTTCTCTCTAGTCCATACTACATAGGTTAATTACAAGTAATATTACTTCTGAAGTAAATTTCTCTGTGAATATAAGGTTATATATATTTAAGAATACTAAAACATAAAATTATATGTTACACACACACATACACACACATACCACACACACACACACACAAATCTTACCTTGCTGAGTATTTTGTTCTTGCATTCGATTCACAGTGAGGTCTAAGGGGCCTTCCTGCTCTTCCTGAAGGGAGTTTTCTGCTTGATTCATTTGGATACTCTTACATATTAGACTTGGTCCAATTGAACCATTTCTATTCTCTTGAATTTTACCACTTTTTGAAATATACTCAATTGCAAACTGACGTATCATCTTTTTCATTAATTCCTGAGCAACTAGGGGAATGTTAGGATCACAGTTCTGAGGAAGATCTAGGGAAGAAATAAATATAATAAGAATTAAAAAAGAGAATGCAAAATACCTATGTTTAAATTTATCTTAATTACAAATTAATGATTTCACAAGTCTCAGATTCAGTCCATAATTGCAAATGGTTTCTAGGACTTAGCAACAAAAACCTTGTTGATTTAATTAGTATTATGAGAATATATCAACCCCAAACTTGGCATTTTTAATTGTTTCTTAAAAATAAATATTTTTGGTCCCAAACTAAAATATAAACAACTAGACATAAAAACAGACAGCTTATTTTCAGAGTTTTAATTCAAATGTATTCTACAAGATACTAAGACACTTAGTATGTGAACATAAATTGTATATATAAGTAACCAAGCAAGTTTTAACCTAATAGAGTAGGTATACACATTAACTATTAAAGAAAATATCTAAACTCTGTAACTATTTATTACCATTAATTCTTCAATTCTGTCAAATGTGCACTTCATATATAGCCTAAATGTCATCATCAAGGATTTTTTTCTTTTTTCAATTTTTCATATTGAGAAATTTCAATCAGAAACAAAAAAATAAAGAACACTACAATGACACAGACAGCCTCTACCAAGATTCAAGAATTGTTAGCATTCTGCCACATTCACCTTCTTTTTACTTTTATTGGTTTGCAGAACTACTGGAAAGTAAACTGCAGAATTAGGAGATTTCACTCTTAAATATTTCAGTGCACACCTACTAAGATTCCCCTATAAAAACAGCAGTACCACTACTGAGGGTCTTAATCAGTCCTTGGTCCCAAAACATGTTGGTCAGCTACAACCAAAATAAAGGACAGCAGTCATATACAATTCTGCTTGAAACCTGTACAAGAGGTAAAAACAGTTGAATGATTTTGTAAGAGGTGTGGAATAAAGACAGACCACTTATAAACACAGTATATAATAAGTAATAAATAGTTTTAATATTGGATGGTGGTGGCTTTTTTCACACACACACTACTGGCCTCACCCCAATCTTTTTATTTACTCTGCTCCTTCAGAGGCAGAATGATTGGTGAACTAGGAAGGATGACTAAGTGTATTTGGTTAGGCTCCATACTTCTTCCTCTTAGAAGTGGGCCTACTTCTAGAGATAACGGGTTGGCCAAAAAGTTTGTTTGGGTTTTTCTGTAAGATGTTATGGAAAAACCCAAACGAACTTTTTGGCCAAACCAACATGCTCCTCTGCTCCTTAAATGCCTCAACTCTTCCCCAGGCAGATCAGTGCTGTGTGAACAGGACTGCCCTGATCCTGGGCTGTCTGAGACTGAAGGGTTGAGTCTCCTTAGTTTTGGGGTTTAGTATTAGCTGGAGCAATTGTCTAAGAGATCTGAGGGCAAGTCCTCCAACTAGCATCTACTTTTATAGATCCATGATTCTAAAATGCAAGAAGATTAGAAAACATACTATTTAAAGGTGAGGAAAGGCAACAAAACTACCTCCACCATATCTGATAGCAAAATGTGACCTCAGCCGACATCAATCTGTTTATGGTCCTGCAGAAATATCAATATATTTGATCACAGGGTGCTGTTTTGGACCTGCTGGAGATGTTACATAATAAACATCTCCATTACATTAGCTCTTTCAAAACAAAGAACACTGAATTCTGAAAAAACATTTGAGAAGGGATTACGGGCCTATAGAAAAAGTAACATTTTTAGTCCTCACATTTATTCTTTGTTTAGAGCCCATTAGGGAAGAGAGGTACTATTTGTTTCTGAGTACGAGAAAAAAAGACTTGGCTATACAGTTGAGCACTGAGCAACATGCGTTTGAACTGTGCGGGTACACACAGACATGGATTTTTTCCAATAAATACATACTACGGTACTGCACAGTCCATGGTTGGTCAGTCTGCAGATGTGGAACCCCGAGTATGGAGGGCCCGCTGCAAAGTTAGACTCATTTTTCACTGTGCAGAGGGTCAGTGCTCCTAACCCCCACGTTGTCCAAGGGTCAACTGTATATATCACATGCCCGTGGCTCAGTTATTTTATAACTGGAGGTTTGTACCTCTTAATTTCCCCCTTCACCTATTTCATCCGCCAACACTCCTCCCCTCTGGCAACCACCTGTTTGTTCTCTGTAACTATGAGTCTGTTTTAGCTTAGTTTGTTTTTGTTTTGTTTCTTAGAGTCCACATATAAATGAGAATATACAATGCAAGGAATATGGTCAATAATACTGTATTAACTTTGTATGAGGACAGTTGCTTACTAGACTTATTATGGTGATCATTTCATCATGCATGCAAATGTGAATCACTCCATAGTATACCTGAAACTAAAGTAATATTGCCAACTATATTTTAATGAAAAAAGAAAGACTTAGCTATAGATTGAAATCTTAGCCATCTTCCTGAATTCAGGCTAGTTACATACCCCTCTGTGTTTTAGTTTCTCTGTTCATAAAAATGGAAATGATAATAGAACCTTGGAAGTCATAATAAGTCTTGCTCACAGGATACTTTAAAGTTATATGAGATTGTAGATAAAATACTGAACTCCTGTACTTGTCATTTTAATAGCTGACATTTACTCCACTGTTATCTTAGGTTATAGTGAAAATAACAAGAGAAACAAAAAGATGCAGGCCAAGAAGTTATATTTTACGTAAATCATAAAATGTCAAATAAGTAAAAATATTAACTAACTAGGTTAATATGTAAAATTATTAACTAGCTGGGAAAACACAAAGGACATAATTTCTAAGCCCATGTGATATACCGTGCTCCAGAATAGATAGTATTAGCACATGTAACCCAACTAAAGTGATTTGTTAACAAAACGAGAAATTTCCATGTTACACATAAGGATTCCCAATTTATACCATTTCTTGACTATTACTTCCAGGAATCCTTGAAGGCATCTGTGAACACTCTTTTCCATCTTTTTTCAAACCTAATCTTGCTTTGAATTATGTGTTAAAAGGAGATATTGATTTACTTCTAGGTATTTTGGTTAATTATCCTGTAATGTATTGGCTAGTATCACTTTATAAATTCAAAATAATTATATTTATCAAAAAACAACAGAAATATGATCAGACATATCATGTGACTAGGGCTATACTTTAGAATTGAGTTTAGAGCTAAGTTTAAAGCAGAACAGATAATGCTACTTTATTCTATTCATCTACTCAGTTTTTGTTTATATTGGGAATAGTCTATGTGTGAGACCAAAGGACTTGGCAAAAAACAAACAAACAAGATAAAAAAGAAAAGGAGACAAAGAAAATGCTGCTCAGCTGCTGATTAGTGAGCCTTCTAGAATACCTGTGCAAATTATCAAAACTATAAAAAACATTGAGTTAACTAAAGATCTAGGCCAGGGATATAAACTCAGATGGTTTCAAAATTCAGGCAACTCACAAACCCTGGGCTAGAAGAGAAAATATGTTGCCAAATAGAAATGGTATGCCCCAAGAAGATAGAAATAACTTATTTTTGCCCTATCTCTTCATTTTCCAAATTTATCTAATTCAAGAGTTTAGCAAGTTGTTTGTAGTAGCCAGTTTCAAGATGGTCCTTAATGATTCCCACTCCCACCTCGTGGTTTCCAGGGTTGTGTAGTCCCTTCCACATTGTATTAAGGGTGGAATGTGTGATTAATAATAACATACTGCAGAAGTGTATGTCACTTCCAAGATTAGGTTATAAAAGAATATGGATACCCTGGATACTCTTAATACTGGTGTTCGCTGTGACCCCCACCCACACTATTCTGTCCTCTTGCTCTCTCATCACTCACTCTGGAGAAAGCTGTCCTGTGAGCGGCACTGAGGAGGCTCACAAGGAAAGGAACTGAAGTCTCCTGCAAACAGCCAAATGACTGAATTGGGAAGAAGATGCTCAAGACCAATCAACTCCCAAATGACTGAAAAGGAAAACAACACAGCAAAAGTTATGTGATGAAGCTAAAGCAGTGCTTAGAGAGCAATTTATAGCAATAAACACATATATTAAAAAAAATTCAACCCAGTAACCCAATAACCTAACCTTCCTCCTTAAGAGAAAACGAATCGAAAATTAAACCCAAAGCAAGCACAGAGAAGAAAATAAATAAAAAGTTAGGGCAGAAAAAAATAAGATAGAGAATAGAAAGACAACAGAGAAGAGCAATAAAACCAAAAGTTGGTTCTCTGAAAAGATCAAAAATTTGACCAAGAATAAAAACCAGAATACACTTAAGTTTGTAAAATCAGAAATGAAGGAAGCAATATCAGCACTAACATTAAAGGTAATCAAGAAATACTACAAAAAAAAAAAAAAAGAAAAGAAAAAAGCTATACATCAACACATTAGGTATCCTAGATGAAATGGCCAAATTGCTAGAAAGACACAAACTATCAAACTCACTCAAGAAGTAACAGTAAAACCTGGACCTGCAAGTAAAAAGACTGAATTAGTAACCAAAAATCTTGCCACAAAGAAAAGCCCAGGGACAGACAGATTTACTGGTGAATTCTGTTAGACATTTAAAGAGGAATTAAAACCAATCCTTCACAAACTCCAAAACAAGAGACGAGGAAGGAACACTTCCCAACTCATTCTATGAGGGCAATATTAGCCTGATACCAAACCTGGAAAAAGAAATTACATGAAAAGAAAACTACTAAATGAAATGAAAACTATCCATTATGAATAGACAAAAATCCAGTTGACCCTTGAGCTACATGGGTTTGAGCTGTGCGGGTCCACTTATCTGTGGATTTTTTTCAACAGTAAATACTACAGTACTACACAATCTGTGACTGGTTGAATCTCTGGATGTGGAAATGCAAATACAGAGGGCTGACCATAAGTCATACACAGATTTTCAACTGCATGAGGGGCCAGCCCCTATCCATCACATTGTTCAAGGGCCAACTCCCCTATCACACAGAAACAGGCAACACATAAAAAGGATTATACAATAAGACAAGGTTGTCCACGCTCACCATTATTATTCAACATAGTTTTGGAAGTTTTAGCCATA